TCCGACGGGTAGGAGAAGTAGGGAGACGTACAAAGTTTTATTTCTTCAGGTGACTAAATTCTAGAGATCTAATGTACAGCCTGATGACCAACTCAATTTTAATGGTTTGTCTTCTCCACTGGATCCCTGCACTCTTTTGGAGAAGACATTCCCAAGTCTGGCTAAGCATCGAGCTCTCATGGCAGCTTGATAACAATACAAAAATTTTTTATCCTCATACCAGGCCAACAGAGTGAGAATTCCTGGGAGTGGAGCCCAGGAATTCATCAATTTAAAAACATTTTCCAGGTGATCATGATCAGCAGGCAGGCTTGGTAACCCCCTGCCCCAGGACTGGCCATTATCTTTAGTGACAGTAGGGATAGAACAAGGCAGAGAGCTGAGCTACACCAAAGCCTCACTTTGTGGCAGGTCCTGCTGTAGGAGCTTTTACACCTACTTATCTTATCTCAGCCACCTGGAGAAACAGATGATGCTGTGTACATTACTACAGATGAGGAAATCACAGCTCGGGAGCTTAGGTCCCTTGTCGTAGGTCCCCACGGGCAACAAAACCAGTTCTGCTGTCTCTTTAGACTTATATTCTTTTTACTTAATCCATATTAATTAAAATAAATTAATATATTTAAATATATATATATATATATATCTTATTACAGTTTTCCCAGGTTTTTTTTTCTTCCCTTTATCCCTCCTCGATCCTGCACACTGAACCTCCAGCACTCCTGCACCTTAGTTCATGTCCATGGTCTGTGCATATAAAGTCTTTGGCTTCTCTATTTCCTACACTACTTTTAATCTCCTTTTCTCTATTTTATGCCTACCAATTATATTTCTTATTCCCTGTACCTTCCCTCACCATTCTCTCCCTCCTCCTCCCCACTGCTAACCCTCCATGAGATCTCAGTTTCTATGAATTTCTTCCTGTTCTAGTTTTTTGCTTAGTTTTTTGTTTTGTTTTGTTTTAGGTTGAGTTGTTGATAGTTTGTTGTCATTTTACTTTTCATAGCTTTTGATATTCTTCTACTTCTTAGATAAGTCCCTTTAACATTTCATATAATAAGAGCTCAGTGGTAATGAACTCCTTTAAATTTACCATATCTGGGAAGCACTTTATCTGTCCTTCCATTCTAAATGATAGCTTTGCTAGATAGGGTAATCTTGGATGTAGGTCCTTGCCTTTCATGACTTGGAATGCTTCTTTCCAGCCCCTTCTTGCCAGTAAGGTTTCTTTTGAGAAATCAGCTGATAGTCTTATGGGTACTTCTTTGTAGGTAGTACCCATACCTTTTCTCTTGCTGCTTTTAAGGTTTTCTCCTTATCTTGAATCTTGGGTAATGTAATTATGATGTGCCTTGGTGTGTGCTTCCTTGAGTCCAACTTGTTTGGGACTCTCTGAGCTTCCTGGAAGTATTCCCTTTGCCAGATTGGAGAAGGTTTCCTTCATTATTTCTTCAAATAAGTTTTCAACTTCTTGCTCTTCCTCTTTTCCTTCCAGCACTCCTACAATTCGTGTGTTGAAACGTTTAAAGTTATCTCATAGGTTGCTAAGTCTCTCCTCATTTTTTTGAATTCTCGTTTCTTTATTCTGTTCTGGTTGAATGTTATTTCTTCCTTCAGGTCCAAACCTTTGATGTGAGTCCTGGTTTCCTTCCCATCACTCTCAGTTCCCTATACACTTTCCTTTATTTCGCTTTGCATAGCCTTCACTTCTGTCTTCATTTTATGATCATACTCAACTATTTCTGTGAGCATCCTGATAACCAGTGTTTTGAACTGTGCATCTTATAGGTTGCCTGTTTCTTCATCACTTACTTGTATTATTTCTGGATCTTTGATCTGTTCTTTCATGTGGGCCAAATTTTTTTGTTTCTTAATGCCTGTTATTTAGCAATGGGTGGAGCCTTAGGTATTCTCCAGGGAGAGGCAACCCTCTTCACTGCATTGTGGTGCTGTATGTTGGGGAGGGATCTAAGAGGGAGCAATGCCGCTTTTTTGACTCTCAGCCAGCTTTCAGTCTGATACCCACAAGCAAATTGAGCCCTTCTGCTGATGATTCCTGGGTTGGTGGTATTGTGTAAGTTTTAGGACTCTGGGGTCTCTCCAAGGAACTCTCCTGTGAGGCTGGAAGTTTCTCCCATCTCTGCAACCCCGACAGATTTTTTTCAGCCAGAGGTTTTGAGCCTTTAGTTCCCCACATTGAAACCCTAGGTTCTGTGGTCTGTCTCACTCCCCAGTTGTTCCTCCCAGTTCATCCACACACAAATGTGAAACTTCCTAGTCCTCCAGTCACCACCTTGCTCTGAGTCCTCTCTACCCTGGCTGCCTGTCTCTTCCCCTTCTACTTGTCTGGATGAATGTTTCTTCTTTAATTCCTTGGTTGTCAGACTTCCATATAGTTTGATTTTTGTCAGTTCTGGTTATTTTTTACTTTTAAATTTGTTGTTGTTCTTCTTGGTGTTGTGAGGAGACAAAGTGAATCTATCTATGCCTCCATCTTGGCCAGAAGTCGAAATAAATTAACATCTTGTTTCAGAATTTCTATGACTTGCTCCCCCACATTCAGTTAATGTTCAAGACCTATCCACTCTCTCTTCTCAGCTCCTTTCTCAGAAACAGCCTCCTCATTCATCTATTGCTATCTTAGGCCATATCCCTCTAATCCATTTTCCCAACTACAGCCAAGTGATCATTTAGACTTGAAATTTTTCAAATCATTCTGTTTATGGTACCTGTTACCACAATAAGCTTTTCATCTTTACACTGACAGGTATGTCTATTTTTCCTTTTCAGCTTTGAGGTTTTCAGACTTATAATGGTAACATTATAAGGAAAGCAGGCCTTCCCTTCCTTGCCCTCTTAGACTTCTAAAGCAAATGCCAATCCAGGAGTTATGTTTTACAATGTATAAAATATTTACACACAGGGACATAGAAAGGCAACTTTAGAAAAATGGGCAATAGGTGTTCATAAGCAATTCACAAATGAGAAAATTGAACTAATAAATAAACAAATGAAAAAAATCTCATGATCACTGATGGTCAAAGAAACAAAGTGATGCCACTTTATATCCCTCAGACTAGGAAAACTTGAAAACAGTTATCACACTGATTGCTGGCAGGGAGAAAAGAACTCTCATTTGAACCGCTGGTTCAAAAGGCAGTTTCGTCAACCTTTCTGAAAAGCATTCTAGTAACATTTTAAAAGTAGAAACTGCAATATGTTTGTTATAATTTTCCATTGTTGTGAATCTATTTTCTAGCACAAAACTACTCATATAAAGGACCTGTGGATAGGAGTATTTACTACTGTATTGTTTGAATAGCAACAATCTGGAAATTGGGTAGCTATTTATGTCTAAAAGAATCATTGACTTTACTAGGAAACATCCACATCATAGTAAAATAGGATCCCATTAGAAATATGAAGTATAGCTATATATTGACCTGGAAGCATGTGTATGAGGTGCTGCTGAGTGAAGAAAACAAGATGCAGAAACTTGTGATATGATCCTGTTTTGTAAAATGTTACCACATGAATACAAAGCCATTAAATGTAGAGTTTGTGTGTAAAGTTTATACAGAGAGTACTAGTATGAATGTGTGTCTGTACATGGCTATGTGAACACAAAGGAAACTGTAAGAGGACCCATAATATGTTATTAACACGGGTGAGGGGTGCAGGACTTGAGGATGATAGAGAGTAGGGAATAAAGGGAGGGAGTGAACCAAGACAACAAAGACAAGGAGAAAGGGTTAATAGTAAACTGTTATAAAATCATATCTGCATGAATGAGATGATAATACTTATGATTTTTATAAGTTACATGTGTGTATGTGTATTACAAAATCTGAAGTGTTAAAAATGCAAATCTAATCAGTTCATTCTTCCCAAAATTTTTTTATAGCTACCTGTTCCCCTGTGCATCAATCCAGAATCTCCAGCCTGGACTCTGAAGCCCCTGCTCTCCTCTCCACCCTCCTACAGAACAGCTAGCTACCCTCCTCGCTCTGTGTCAATGTCACATATTGCCTTGGACCTAAAGTCCCTGCCCTGCAGCCCTCCTGCTCTGCTTTAGCTCTTCACATCTACTGTTCTTTCTTGCCAAAGCCATTTCTCCATTCCTATTTTCCTGGATAACTCCAACTCATTTTCGTAAATCCCAGCTTAAACACCACTTTCTCAGGGAATTTTCCTGACCCACAGATATGGTTATGTACCTTGATATATATTCTCATTGATTCCTTGTCCTTAATAAAATTCTATTTTACTATTAGCCTTTTCCCCCCAAACTTAGCACAAATTTCCCAAGTTATACTTTTCCTTTTTTTAATGTTTATTTGTTGTGTCCACATTGGATAAGAACCCATAGCAGAACCTGAGCATTACACCCTGGATCTCATATTGTGGTGATGTAGAATCACCTCTTCTAACCTTCTTGCCATCCCATGGCTCTCTTAGTCATGCTGAGCCCTTTTAGTTTTCTAGGTGCAGAAGTTTATACCACCAACTGACATCCTTAGAACTGTCTCAGATTATCTCCCATCTCATCCCCAGGGTCCTTCTGGCCAGCTGTGTTCCCTGGCTGCCCAGGGTTCCCTACTTTGCCGCTGTCCCTCAGAGAGGAATCCCTGAGCAGAGGAGCCTAGTTACTGATGGAACCCCTCCTGCTCTGTGATTATGATCTGAGCTTGAGAGGAGGTTACAGTGAGGGTGACTTGAAATTCCAGAATGTGTCTGGAGGCAGCTGGAGCTGACATTTGCTATTTCACCAGAGAACTAAGACAGTGAGTTAACAGAAGGCTCACACCACTTAGGGCATGATAAGCAAGTGTATTAAACATTATCTTGTTTTCACTGGACATTTGTAATTAAGCATGCTTATGAAAAAATAAAATACAATTCATATGAAGAGAGAAAACTTAGTTCTGTTTATTTTCAAACTATATTGTTAATAAAGTATTTTCTTTTTAACAATTGCTTTATTTCCATAAGTGGTTGTATTTTTGTCTTTGCACAAAAGGGGAACAGAAAGAAAAGGCTGTATGACTGTTTTCCCAAAAGATGAAGGGAAGCCAGATTCCCATCACGATAACTGCCTTTGCTAAGCTTAGGTAGAACATTCAGATTTCAAAATGAGAAGAAAATATAGAAATAAGTTGTACTACATGGATCTTTGAGACTGGGGGAGTGCTATTTCCAAGAAATTTCAAGAAAATTCCAAGAAAATTAGTATTAGATAACCTGAGCTTCACGTCCCACTGGCAGTCATCCTGTCCTCTGTGCAAGAAAGAGTGAGTTGGATAATATCTTCCATAACCTCTATTAGCATGGGAGGGGGCAGTAAGTTTCACATATAAATCTATTCACAAATGGAAGGTCAAATACAAAGTGTCCTGCTTAGCAAGTCACATAATGGGGGTGCTAGTTTTATCTCCTAGAAAAGTGCATTTGGTGGCTTGTTATCTTTGAAGTGGATGAGGCAGTCCACAATGAATTTCAGTCCACAATGTTCCCCTGCTTTCCCTTCTCCCCAGTATTGTCCAGCATCCGCAGTCTTTCCTCCAGTCTCTGCTTCCATTCTTCTCTGAGCCTTAGGAGGGGAAACAATACACATGGCTTAGTGCATTTGCCTACACATCTGCTGGTCCAGTAAAGTTTTCTTTTCCTGCTAAGGAATATATATTTTTAATTTAAAAATGTCTATTGATTTTAGAACGAGAGAGAGAAACTTTGATGTGAGAGAGAAACTTCAATTGGTTGCTTCCCATATGTTTCCCAAATGGGGATCAAATCCACAACCTAGTATGTGCCCTGAGTAAGGATTGGATCCATGACCTTTTGGTGTATGGAACAATGTTCAAACCAACTGAGCCACATAGATAAAGGCCTTCTAAAGAATATCTTTAAGAGAAACACATGACTTTCACAAATTAGTGAAGAAAAAAATGAATAGACAAATGAGAAAAGTCTAGAAAATATAGTTTTTTCCTCAAATTGTTATGTAACTCAATGTAAACTCAGTCAAGCTCTTAGCAGGACTTTTTTGTAGATAACAACAAACTGATTCTAAATTTTATATGAAAAGGCAAAAGAAACAGACCAGTGAAACCAATTTTGAAGAAGTAAGTTGGAGAACTGCCATTACATTATTTTGAGGCTAAATGTTAGGCTACCACCATCGGGATGGTGTGGCATTGGTGAAGAAACAGACAATAGATCAATGAAATGAAATAGTGAGTCCAGAAATATATACACATAATATGGGCAATTGATTTGGACAAGGGGCAAAGACAACTCAATGGAGGTAGCCATATATATGTGTGTATGTGTGTGTGTGTGTGTGTGTGTGTGTGTGTGTGTATAAATTTAAACAAATGGGACTAGGACATCATATATCCATATTCAAAAGAAAATGGTTTGGGTCCATATCCCACATCTAGTAGCATAGAGCTGATGAAAAACGTAAGACTAAGACTTCTAAGAAAATACCCATAAAATAATACCTTCATTATTTTCCTGTGGATAAAGGAATAATTTTTAGATACAACACAAAGAATGGTTTATAAAAAAAGAAAAGAATATTTGGGACTTAAATTTACTCTGTAAAAGACACTGTAAGGAGAATAAAAGACAAGCCATAAATAGGGAAAAGATATTCGCAAATCACATATTTAGGGACTTGTTTCCAGAATATACAATTAAATATACCACAGGCAAAAAAAATTTTGAAGGCATTTTACTGAGAAGTGGTATGGATGACAAATCAGCACATAAAAGATGCTCAACATAATTAGAAAAATGCAAATTAAAACTGCAATGTGGTACCACCCACATCATAGAATGATCAAAATAAACAAACAAAAAAAAAACCCCACCAAGAACCCACAAAAACCCACAAGAGAAAAACATGTAAAAAAATTAAAAATAAACTCTCACAATGAAAGCCAAAACAAATGTTGGCACGGACATTGAGTGGCTTGAACTCTCTCACAATCGTTGTGGAAATGCAAAATGGCACAGTCAGTATGGAAAACAGTTTGGCAGTTTCTTATACAATTAAACTTAAATTTACCATATGACCCAGTAATCTCAATCTGGGTATTTACTCAAAAGAAATGTCAATTTATATCCACACAGACACCTGTATGTAAATGTTCATGATAGTTTTATTTATAGTCACCCAAAACTGGAAATAATCTAAATATCCTTCAACTAAGGAATGGATAACCAAATTATGACATGTCTATGTAACAGAATAGTACTCAAAAATGAGAGGGGATGGGAGATTGATACACACAAGAATTACATCCCAAATATATTTTTAAGTGAAAAGAGGCAGACTCAAAAGACCATATACTGTAAAATTAACTTATGACATTCTGAAAAAGGTAAAACTGGAGGGATAGAGAACAGATCAGTGGTTGCTAGGGATTGGAAATTGGCAGAGAAATTAATCATAAAAGAGCAGAATGAAGACATTTTTAGAGTGATGGAACTATTCTATATCTTGATTGTGGTGATTACATCATTCTGAGCATTTATCAAAACTCATAGAACTGTACACAAAGAGAAAACAAATGCATGGTGCTTATAAATCAATAAAGAAGAAACTCTGTAGTCATATGGGTAGATGATGTAAATTGGCTCCTCCAGAAGAAGAAATTCAGCTGTTTCCTACACATATGACAAATTTCAATGAAACTTGTAATCAATTAAATTCAGTTTAAAACACAAACTGAACTAACAAGCAAAACAGAGACAGACATAAATAGAGAGCAGACTGACAGTTCTTGGCAGGAATCGGGGGAAGCCTGGGTTTGGGTGGAGGAATTAAGAAAAGAAAAAAAGAAAGAAAGAAAGAGAGAGAGAGAAAGAAAGAAAGAAAGAGAGAGAGAGAGAGAGAGAGAGAGAGAGAAAGAAAGAAAGAAAGAAAGAAAGAAAGAAAGAAAGAAAGAAAGAAAGAAAGAAAGAAAGAAAGAAAGAAAGAAAGAAAGAAAGAAAGAAAGAAAGAAAGAAAGAAAGAAAGAAAGAAAGAAAGAAAGAAAGAAAGAAAAGAGAGAGAGCAACAAAGAACTCATGGACATGGACAACAGTGTGGTGATTGCAGCAGTGGGGGATGGGTGGAGGTGGAAGAGGGTATGGGGGAATAAATAGTGATGAAAAAACAAACAAAACAGAAGAAAAAGTCAGTGAAATTCTATGTTCATTTGTTTGATTAATATAGTTAAGTTTGACAATACAGGATATTAGCTATTGTAGAAATTAGTACTCCTATACTCAGGGTGCAAGTTGCAAGAATAGAAGGCTATCAAACTTTTAAAAACTCTTGTTTTTTTAAAAGATTTTATTCATTTATCTTTGAAGGGAAGGGAAGGAGAGAGGGAGAGAAATATCAGTGTGTGGTTGCTTCTTGGGTGTCCCCCACTGGGAACTGGCCAGCAACCCAGGCATGTGCCCCAACTGGGAATCAAACCGCAATTGTCTGGTTCACAGGCCTGTGCTCAATCCACTGAGCTACACCAGCCAAGGCTAAAAACTCTTGTTTTTGACCTAACATTTTCATTTATATGAAGTTATCCCACAATATTTATCCATATATGCAAGAATGTATGCACAGGTATCTTTATTACAACATTGTTTGTGAAGCCTAAAAATGAAAAATGAACTGTCTTTTGATGTGACTGGTTAAATAAATTGTTATATCATTACAATGGAAAACATTAAAGAACTGAGAGGGCTATCTTCTTAATGTAGATGAAGTTGAAAAAGTTAGGGGCTTTTTACATAAAAATACTGGATACATATTTATTTTCTTATTCAAACTGGGGTTTTGGGGAAAGATATACAAGGAATCATAGATGGCAGTGCTCTACAGAAAGCTGGTCTAGGAGGCTCAGTGGGAAGGAAACTCACTCCTAAATATATACCCTTTCTTGATGCTTGAATTAAAAATATATATATACACCTGTGTTAATTTCTTAAGAGTAAAGATAACCAAAATGAAAAAATTAGATAATTACTTTTATTAATTTTCTGGGGCTGTGATAATAAAATACCAAATTGTGTGGCTTAAACAATAGAAATTTATTTTCTCACAGTTCTGAAAAGTGGGAAGTCCAAGATCAAAATGTGGGTAGACTTGGTTTCTCCCAAGATATTTCTTTGGCTTGTATCTGAGAAGCACTTTATCTGTCCTTCCATTCTAAATGAAAGCTTTGCTGGATAGAGTAATCTTGGTTGTAGGTCTTTGGATTTCATAACTTGGAATATTTCTTTCCAGCCCCTTCTTGCCTGTAATGTCTCTTTTGAGAAATCAGCTGACAGTCTGATGGGAACTCCTTTGTAAGTGACTGTCTCCTTATCTCTTGCTGCTTCTAGGATTCTCTCCTTCATTTTCATCTTGGCTAATGTAATTATGATGTGCCTTGGTGTGTTCCTTCTTGGGTCCAACTTCTTTGGGACTCTCTGAGCTTCCTGGATTTCCTGGAAGTCTATTTCCTTTGCCAGATTGGGGAAGTTCTCCTTTATTATTTGTTCAAATAAGTTTTCCACTCGTGGCTGTTCCTCTTCCCCTTCTGGCACCCCTATAATTCTGATGTTGGAATGTTTAAAGATGTCCTGGAGGTTCCTAAGCCTCTCCTTGTTGAGGTCCAAAACAGATGTTGAAAAGGGACAATCCCGAATGAGCCCCGGATAAAGTTAGGCTGACCAGGAACAGGGAAATTTTTACTTCCTAAAAGGGCTAACCGCCAATTACACAAAGAGCCTTTTGAATTTCCCTAATAAGCCAATGGCAATCAGCTGTTTAGAGCTAGCCAATAGCTAACAGCCACATCTGCTTTTGTTCAAAGCTTGCTTGCATACCCCTATATAAGGACATAGCTGTAAGCGCCGGGGCGTGGCTCTCATCTGCAGCTCTCCTGAGCATAGTGTTCTCGGACACTCAGAGAGCTCGCCCCTGCGCAGGTAAAACTTGGCCAATTAAGTAACATCTTGAAAATTCTGAAAGTCTCCGAACTTCTGTTTCTCGTGACAGCGGATGCAACATTCTTCATTTTTTTTAATTCTTGTTTTTTCATCCTTTTTTGTTTGGTTGTTTCTTTCTTCCTTCTGGTCCACTCCCTTGATTTGAGTCCATTTCCTTTCCATCACTATTGGTTTCCTGTGCATTTCCCTGCATTTCACTTAGTTTAGCCTTCATTTGTTCCTCTAATTTGTGACTAAAATCGACCAGCTCTGTGAGCATCCTGATCACCAGTGTTTTGAACTGTACATCTGATAGGTTGGCTATTTCTTGGTCGCTTAGAGTTATCGGCTCTGGGGCTTTTACTTCTTCTTGAGCCATGTTTTGGTCTGTTCACACCTGTTATGTATGAGGAGCAGAGCCCTAGGTGTTCACCAGGTTGGGGCAACTCAGTCACTGGGTTATGATGCTATGTATGTGGGGGTGGGGTCAAAGAGGGGCAATAGCAGTCCCCTCTGCTGCTTTCCGCCACTGGGGCCTGCTCGGTCTGTCTCACTGCTCGCTCCTTCACCTGGTTCTGTGTGCGAATGTGTGACCGTGGTCAGCCTGCCACCTTGTGCCCTCAC